TGTGACAGAGCAAGACTCTATCTCAAAAAAAAAAAAAAAAAAAGAAAAGAAATCTGGTTCGTATTCTGCCACCAAAGGGCTGAGTGGCCACCAAGGCCTCAGTTTCCTCACCATAAAGGACTCAAATTACTTTTGAGGTCACTAACTTTGATTATAAAATGCAGATGTTCATATTTTTTCTATTGTGGTAAAATTCCCATAAAATAAAATTCACTGTTAGCATTTTTTTTTTTTTGAGACAAAGTCTCACTCTGTCGCCCAGGCTGGAGTGTAATGGCGCGATCTCAGCTCACTGCAACCTTCGCCCCCAGGATTCAAGTGACTCTCTTGCCTCAGCCTCCCGAGTAGCTGGGATTACAGGTGCATACCACCACATCCAGCTAATTTTTGTATTTTTAGTAAAGACGAGATCTTACCATTTTGGCCATGCTGGTCTTGAACTCCTGACCTCGTGATCTGCCTGCCTCAGCCTCCCAAAGTACTGGGATTACAGGCATGAGCCACTGCACCCTGCCTTAACCATTTTAAAGTGTCCAATTCGGTGGCATTTAGTACCTTCACAGCGTTGCACAAGCATCACCACCACCTGTTCCAAAACATTATCATCTGCATATGGACTATCCGGAATAGGTGAATCCATAGAGACAGGAGGCAGATAGGTGGTTGCCCGGGTCTGGGGAGAGGGGGAAATGGGTAGTGATTGCTTAGTGCGTACAGAGTTTCGTTTGGGGGTCATGAAAATATTTTGGAACTAGATGGAGGTGATAATTGCTCAACATTGTAAATGCACTGTGACTGACTTGCTCACTGCAAACTGGTTAATTTTACCTCAATTTAAAAAGAGAAGGGGGGAAAAAGATACAGCTTTGTTTATTAATTAATTAAGCACTTCAGCTGTAGAGAGAGATAATTTAGATTAGTTCACGGGCTAACTCAGCGAGACCCAGCCCAATACCCCCATTACATCTGCAACACTGTCTCCTGAGATTTTTTTTTTTTTTTTTTTTGAGACGGAGTTTCGCTCTTGTTACCCAGGCTGGAGTGCAATGGCACGATCTCGGCTCACCGCAACCTCCGCCTCCTGGGTTCAGGCAATTCTCCTGCCCCAGCCTCCTGAGTCGCTGGGATTACAGGCATGCGCCACCATGCCCAGCTAATTTTTTGTATTTTTAGTAGAGACGGGGTTTCACCATGTTGAGCAGGATGGTCTCGATCTCTTGACCTCGTGATCCACCCGCCTCGGCCTCCCAAAGTGCTGGGATTACAGGCGTGAGCCACCGCGCCCGGCCTCTCCTGAGATTTTAATAGTGGAGACCAGTTAGGCTATTGACAAGCTTTTACATCTCAAAGTACGGTCAGAGGACTCGTAGCCTCAACATCACCTGGGAGCTTGTTAGACATTCACAACCCCAGGCTGCCCTGGACCAACTGGACGACAATCGGTACTTTTTTATCTTTATCTTATTTTTGAGACTGAAGGAGTCTCCCTCTGTCGCCCAGGCTGGAGTGCAGTGGTGCAGTCTCAACTCACTGCAACCTCTGCCTCCTGGGCCCAAGTGATTCTCCTGCCTCAGCCTCCCAAGTAGCTGGGATTACAATGCATGCCACTACACCTGGCTAATTTTTGTATTTTCAGTAGAAATGGCATTTCGCCATGTTGGCCAGGCTGGTCTCAAACTCCTGACCTCAGGTGATCCGCCTGCCTCAGCCTCCTAAAGTGTTGGGTGTCAGCCACTGCTCCCAACACAGAATATATATTTATTTAGCAAGCTTTCCAGGTGACTCACTTGCACGTTAAAGTTTGGAAAATCACAGTTATAGGAACATTGAAGTGGTACAAGCTTATCCCATTTAAGGCAACACAATATATATTAATATAATTTCAGTTTTTTTTTTTTTTTTTTTTTTTTTTTTTGAGACGGAGTCTTACCCTGTCACCCAGGCTGGAGCACAGTGGCACGAACTCAGTTGACTGCAACCTCTGCCTCCCAGGTTCAAGCAATTCTCCTGCCTCAGCCTCCCGAGTAGTTGGGATTATAGGCGTGTACCACCACTATCCGCTAATTTTTTTGTATTTTTTTTTTTTTTTTTTAAGTAGAGACAGGGTTTTCCATGTTGGCCAGAGTGGTCTCAAACTCCCAACCTCAAGTGATCCGCTGGCTTTGGCCTCCCAGAGTGCTGGGATTACAGGCTTAAGTCACTGCGCATGGCCATAATTTCAGTTTTTACAGAAGATGCATTACGGCATGATTGCTTGCTTGCTTAACAGGTTCCCATCGGTCTTTAATTTGCTGTCTCCCTTAAGGCATTGGAAAATTTAACCACCATCAAAAGATTTACCCATGATTTTCAAGGAACTCAGCTTTTGAGAAGATGAAAGTCTTTACAATTCAAAACACAAACCAGAGGCCAAAAAATGTTAACATAAGCTTCCAGGTAAGCAAGAGAAATTGCATTCTTATGTGAGATGTTGCAGTTTATTTAAGGGGTAATGTGCCTGTAATTCCAGCACTTTGGGAGGCCGAGGCAAGAGGATCACTTGAGCCCAGGAGTTTGAGAGCAGCCTGGGTAAGATAGGAAGACCCATCACTACAGAAGATGTTAAAAAACATTAGCTGGAGGCCGGGCGCGGTGGCTCAAGCCTGTAATCCCAGCACTTTGGGAGGCCGAGGCGGGTGGATCACGAGGTCAAGAGATCGAGGCCATCCTGGTCAACATGGTGAAACCCCGTCTCTACTAAAAATACAAAAAAAAATTAGCTGGGCATGGTGGCACGTGCATGTAATCCCAGCTACTCAGGAGGTTGAGGCAGGAGAATTGCCTGAACCCAGGAGGCGGAGGTTGCGGTGAGCCGAGATCGCGCCATTGCACTCCAGCCTGGGTAACAAGAGCGAAACTCCATCTCAAAAAAAAAAAAACAAAAAAAAACATTAGCCGGGCATGGTGACACGTGCCTGTGGTCCCAGTTACTTGGGAGGCTGAAGCGAAAGGATCACTTGAGCCTGGGAGGTCAAGGCTGCAGTGAGCCAGAATCAGTCATGCCACTGCATTCCAGCCTGGGCAACAGAGTCAGACGATCTGAGAAAACAAACTAAAAAAAAGAAAAAAGAGGCCAGGTGCCATGGCTCATGCCTGTAATCCCAGCACTTTGGGAGGCCGAGGCAGGCGGATCACCTGAGGTCAGGAGTTTGAGACCAGCGTGGCCAACATGGAGAAACCCTGTCTCTACTAAAAATACAAAAATTAGCCGAGCGTGGTGGAGTATTCCTATAATCTTAGGTACTCAGGAGACTTGGGGCTGGAGAATTTCTTGAACCTGGGAGGCGGAGGTTGCAGTGAACTGAGATTGTGCCACTGCACTCAAGTCTGGGCAACAGAGCCAGACTCCATCTCAAAAGAAAAAAAGAGAGAAAAATTAAATGTTTTAGAGTAAATCTCTGAATGGGAATTTTTTTTTTTTTGAGACAGGGTCTCACTCTGTTGCCCAGGCTGGAGTGCAGTGGCAAAATCTCAGCTCACCGCTGCCTCTGCCTCCCGGGTTCTAGCAATTCTCCCTCAGCCTCCTGAGTAGCGGGGATTATACGCTCCCACCACTACACGGGGCTAATTTTTGTATTTTTAGTAGAGATGGAGTTTGACCATGTTGGCCAGACTGGTCTTGAACTTCTGACCTCAAGTGATCTGCCCACCTCGGCCTCCCAAAGTGCTGGGATTACAGGCGTAAGCTACCATGCTCAGAAGAATTCTTTTTTTTTCTTCTTTCTTTTTTTGAGACAGGGTCTTCCTCTGTCACCCAGGCTGGAGTGCAGTGGTACAATCATGGCTCACTGCAGCCTCAAATTCCCAGGCTCAAGTAATCCTCCTACCTCAGCCTCCTGAATAGCTGGGATACAGGTGTGTGCCACCATGCCTAATGTTTTTTTTTTGAGAGGAGTCTCACTGTGTCGCCGGGCTGGAGTGCAGTGGCACGATCTTGGCTCACTGCAACCTCTGTCTCCTGGGTTCTAGCAATTCTCCTGCCTCAGCCTCCCAAGTAGCTGGGACTACAGGTGCCAGCAATCACGCCCAGCTAATTTTTGTATTTTTAGTAGAGACGGGGTTTCACGGTGTTGGCCAGGATGGTCTTGCTCTCTTGACCTGGTGATCCACCTGCCTTGGCCTCCCAAAGTGCTGGGATTATAGGCATGAGCCACCAAACCCAGCCTAACTTATCTATTGTTTTTAAGTAGAGAAGTGGTATCGCTATGTTACCAAGGCTGGTCTTGAACTCCCAGGCTCAAGGGATCCACCAGCCTCACCCCCCCAAATTGCTGGGATTACAGGTAGGAACAGCCTCACCCTCCCAGATTGCTGGGATTACAGGTAGGAACCACTTCACCTGGCAGTGAACATGATTCTAATTGGATAATTTTAAAGAGGCTGCTCCCTTCAGCCTGGGATACCCCACCTTTTCTCTGTGCTTTGATCCTGTCTTCAGTACTTCCTCAGTATCCCAAACTTGAAAATCAAAAGATACAAAGCTGCCGGGCGCGGTGGCTCAAGCCTGTAATCCCAGCACTTTGGGAGGCTGAGGCGGGTGGATCACGAGGTCAAGAGATCGAGACCATCCTGGTCAACATGGTGAAACCCCGTCTCTACTAAAAATACAAAAAATTAGCTGGGCATGGTGGTGTGTGCCTGTAATCCCAGCTACTCAGGAGGCTGAGGCAGGAGAATTGCCTGAACCCAGGAGGTGGAGGTTGCGGTGAGCCGAGATCGTGCCATTGCACTCCAGCCTGGGTAACAAGAGCGAAACTCCGTCTCAAGAAAAAAAAAAAAGATACAAAGCTAACACTACCATATCCATATTCTTCCTAATTTTATGGTAAAATTTGCTTGGTTTAACTTTCATTTACCAAAATTTAAAAACTTACACATTTATTTTTATTTATTTATTTATTTTGAGATGGAGTTTTTTTTTTTTAATATTTTGATTCTACCTTGGAAAAGCAGGTTTTCATCTTTCCAAAAATTGCACCAAGGTAAAGCAAAGCTCTAGCTGATTCGGGTGTATTGTTTAGGCATTAGCAGTACTGCCCTCACTGTGCGCTCATTGGACAGTAGCGCAACCCCCAGAAAAGGATGGTTAGAGAAGGAATTTTGCTCTTGTTGCCCAGACTGGAGTACAATGGCTCGATCTCAGCTAACCACAACCTTCGCCTCCGGCTTCAAGCAATTCTCCTGCCTCAGCCTCCCCAGTAGCTGGGATTACAGCCATGCGCCACCATGCCCGGCTAATTTTGTCTATTTAGTAGAGACGGAGTTTCTCTGTGTTGGTCAGGCTGGTCTCGAACACCCGACCTCAGGTGATCTGCCCACCCTGGCCTCCCAAAGTGCTGGGATTACAGGCGTGAGCCACTGCACCCAGCCAAGTGTACAAATCTTTTTTTTTTTTGTTTTGTTTTGTTTTGTTTTGTTTTGTTTTCAGAGCCAGAAACAGGATTTTTTTTTCTTTTTTTTTTTTTTTGAGACGGAGTTTTGCTCTTGTTACCCAGGCTGGACTGTAATGGCGCGATCTCGGCTCACTGCAACCTCTGCCTCCTGGGTTCAAGCAATTCTTCTGCCCCAGCCTCCTGAGTAGCTGGGACTACAGGCCTACGCCACCATGCCCAGCTAATTTTTTTGTATTTTTAGTAGAGATGGGGTTTCACCATATTGACCAGTATGGTCTCGATTTCTTGACCTCGTGATCCACCCGCCTTGGCCTCCCAAAGTGCTGTGATTATAGGCGTGAGCCACCGCGCCTGGCCCAGAAACAGGATTTATTTTTATTTTTTTTTTTATTTTTACTTTTTTTAGAGGGAGCAGGTGAGAGAGGGAGCAAGGTGTGTGGTGGGTGCCACATTCTCTTAAGCAATCAGATCTTCTGGAAATTCAGAGTGAGGACTCATTACCATGGGGAGGGCACCAAGCCATTCATAAGAAATCCACCCCCATGACCCAAACACCTTCCACTAGGTCCCACCTTCATCACTGGAGATCACATTTCAATATGAGATTTGGAGGAGCCAAATATCCAAACCATATCAAAGCCAGAGAGGGAAACTTCACCTTTCCTTTTTTTCTTTTTTCTTTTTTTTTTTTTTTAAAGAAAGAAAGGAAGAAAGAGAAAGAATAAAAAGAAAGAAAAAGAAAAAATGAAGGAGAGGAAGGATGAGGAAGAGGGGGAGGGAGAGAGAACGGGGGTGTTGCTTTATTGCCTGGGCTAGAATGCAGTCTAAAAATGGGTATGCCTGTAATTGTGTTTAATAATAGAGACATGGAAAAAAAAATGAGGGAAGAAAATAACAAGCAGCCAGCCAATATTTCATTTAAACCTGTAAATAGGTGTGATGTGGTGCTGATAAAAGTGTATATTTTGTGTATTTAAAGTGGAGAGTTCTATAAATGTTAATTAAGTCTACATGTTCCCGACCTGAGTTCAAGTCCTGGATATGGATGTTAACTTTCTGTCTCATTGATCTGTCTGATATTGATGTTGAAGTCTCCCACTATTATTGTGTGGGAGTCCAAGTCTCTTTATAAGTCATATATATCTGGATATTCCTGTATTGGGTGCGTATACATTTAGGATCTTTAGCTCTTCTTGTTACATTGATCCTTTTATCACTATGTAACATCCTTCTTTGCTTCTTTTGATCCTTCTTGCTTTAAAGTCTATTTTATCAGCAAAAATTGCAACTCCTGCTTTCTATTTATTATTTTTGCTCTCCATTTGGTTGGTAAATTTTTCTCCATCCGTTTGTTTTGAGTCTTTATGTATCCTTGCATGTGAGATGGGTCTGGATGTAGCATACCAATTGGTCTTGGCTTTTTTTTGCCTGTCTGTGACTTTGGATTGGGGGATTTAGTCGATTTAAATTTAGAATTAATAATAATATATGTGAGTTTGATATTGCCGTTTAATGTTAGCTGGCTGTTTTGCCCATTAGTTATACAAGTTCTTAATTATGTTGATGTTCTTCATTTTTTGGTATTTTTTAGAAAGGCTGATACTGGTTGTTCCTTTCTATTTGTGGTGGTTCTTTCAGAAGTTCTTGTAAAGCAGGCCTGGTGGTGATGAAATCTCTGAGTGCTTGCTTGTTCACAAAAGATTTTATTTTTCCTTCGCTTATGAAACTTAGTTTGGCTGGATGTAAAATTGTGGGTTGAAAGTTCTTTTCTTTAAGGATGTTGAATATTGGCCCCCACTCTCTTCTGGCTTGCAGAGTTTCTGCTGAGAGATCTGCTGTGAGTCCTATAGGCTTCCCTTTATGAGTAACCTGACCTTTCTCTCTGGCTGCCCTCAGTATTTTCTTCTTCATTTCAACCCTGGTGAATCTGGCGATTATGTTCTTAAGGTTGGTCTTCTTGAGGAATATCTTTGTGGTGTTCTCTGTATTACCTGGAGTTGAATATCGTCCTGCCTTGCTAGGTTGGGAAAGTTTTCCTGAGTGATATCCTGAAGCGTATTTTCCAGCTTGGATTGATTCTCTTCGTCACATTCAGGTACACCTATCAAAAGTAGATTAGGTCTTTTCACATAGTCCCATATTTCTTGGAGACTTTGCTCATTTCTTTTTATCCTTTTTTCTCTAATCTTGTCTTCACATTTTATTTCATTAAGTTGGTCTTCAACCTCTGATATCCTTTCTTCTGCTTGATCAATTCGGCTGCTAAAACTTGTGCATAGTTCGCGAAGTTCTCTTCTGTTTTTCAGCTCCATTAATTCACTTATATTCCTCTCTAAATTGTGTATTATTGTTAACATTTCATCAAGCCTTTCTTCAAAGTTCTTAGCTGCTTTGCATTAGAAACTAAGTTAGTTTAGTTAGAACAAGTTCTTTTAATTCCCAGAAGTTTCTTATCATCCACCTTATGAAGCCTGCTTCTGCTAATGGAACACAGTCTTTCTCCATCAGGCCTTGTTCCGTTGCTGATGAGGAACTGTGATCCCCTGTAGAGGGAGAGGCGTTCTGATTTTGGGTATTCTCAGCCTTTTTAGGCTGGTTTCTTCCCTTCGTTATAGATTTATCCATCTGTGGTCTTTATAATTACTGTCTTTATAGTTGGGTTTCTGAATGGACGTCCAACCGGTGCTAAAATCTGAGCAACCCACTGCGCCGGCCAAAACAGACTGATGGTGCTTTTCTGACTCTGCACCAAGAACCACCTTGCGGGCCACAAGAGTCGCGCTGGCGACCCGTGGGGCTCGTCCGCTGGAGTCTCCTGGTGCGTGAGCAACAAAAATTCGTCTGAAAGTGTGGCGTCCTCTCGTTCTCTGCGCTTTCACTGGGAGCTACAATCCCCAGCTGCTAGTGATCAGCTATCTTGGATCTCTCTCGACAGGATTTTATTTAACATTTATTGTAATGGGGTCTGCGCAAAAGGAGGGGGTGGAGGGTGGGGTACATGCAGGGGACACAGGAACACGATGACATGGCCAGGGCCACAGCTTCTTCTGTCGTGGGGAAGACAAGACCAGGGCTGGAGCTGGGGTGGAAGAGGGGAGGGGGGACACTGGCTGCATTTCCCCCACCCCCAGGAAGCACCTCTAGGCCCTGGACCCCTCGCTCATCCTGGCCCCTAAAATTCCATCTCTCCTCTGCCTCTGGCCCTCCTGGCTTCTCCTTCTGCTCCCCTGAACTTTTCCCCTGACAGATTCTCAAGTAGGACGATGTTCAGGGCCTGACCCCAAACCCCCCACCACCTTATGATGGTACAACTTTTGCTGGCCCTGCTTCTGCCCCTCCTCAGACCTCACGGCTCTCCCTCTCTGGGACAGAAGCTCTGATCTCCCTACTTCCTCTCCTCCCTCCCCCTGGAAAAAAAGAAAAAGGAAAAGACAGCACCAACTCCCCAGGGAGGGGCAACAGACAGCAGGGGGAGAGGATTGGAAGGAGAGTGAGAGAACTATTGAGGGAAGAGGCTCATAAGTCCCTGGGAGGACAGGGCAAGGGCTTACAGAGAGGAGAGGGGGTATGGGCAGTGGCTGCTCCTGTCCTCTGCCACCCCTGCCCACTGTCCAGGGGACTTCGACACAACCGACGGGACAGGTTTGTGTGGGGTCAGGTCTGATAGAAGAGAGGAGCGGGAGAAACAAATCGTTAAAACCTAGCGAATTCCCCTAAAACATTTCTTCCTCCTTTCCCTCCGGAGGCTCCTTGGTTGGTGGGGAAGCAGTGAGGAGTTGGTGGGAAAAGTGGGGGGAGAGGAGCCTGTACCAACTGACGCTACTCCATTCTCTCCTCTCCCCCCAACCAACTCGGAGCTCACCACGGCTGGGAGGGAAGTGGCTGAGAGCTCACAGGCACCCCCTCTACCCCGAGAGGGAGCCCACAGATGTGGGAGGAGCTGCTGCTGCCGCCGCCATTGGACAAACCTCACCAGTACCTTTGTTGCAGAGCTCACAGACACGGTGAGGGCCCTGGCTGTGCACTTTCATGTGGTCCGAAATATAAGCCAAGCTCAGCGTCTTGCCACACATGTGACATGGCTCCTTCTCCTCGTGTCGTACCATGTGCGCCCGCAGCCGATCCTTCGTGGCGAAAGCTGCCTCACATTTTCACATTTGAAGGGCCGTTCTGTTGAGTGCACTGGTCGGACGTGACTGTTGGGGTGATCCGGCCGGGAGAAGCTCTGGCCACAGTGGGAGCAGCTGCAGGGCTTGTGTACAGCGCCGTCAAGTGAGCGCACGTGGTAGCTCATGCGGTCCTTGCGCTGCTGGCACACCGGGCACTGGGAGGGCTTCTCGTCCGAGTGAGACAGCTTGTGTCGGCTCAGGTGGTGGCCGTCGCGGGAGGCCTTGCGGCACATCTCTCAGCCGTGGTTCTTCGGACGCGCTTCCCCGAGGCGGTCGTGGTCACCACGCCGCCGGCAGCCACTGCGGCCGCGCCGCAGCCGACACCCGCTTCTCCCACTCCCCCGCCGGCTCCGCTCAGCTGGGGCACGCTCAGGAGGCTCAGGGCCACCATGGTGGGCATCTTCATAGCATCCGAGGGGACCCGGCCGGCCTTGGCTCCCGCGTGGATGGCTTCGTGCCTCCGGAGGTTGCAGCCGTTCTTGAACGCCTTGGCGCACAGAGCGCAGATGTAGGGCCCCTTGCTCTTTGTCTTCTTCTTCAAGACAGACGCTACTGGGGCCACGGCGACCGTCGAGGTTGGGGCTACGACGGCGGTGGCCGCCGCCGCGGCGATGGTGGCGGCGGAGGCGGGGGTGGGGGTGACGAAGGGGGCACCGGGGGCTGCTTCAGGGCCGCTGTGTCCACCGTGGAGGCGGCGGCCGGAGCCGGGGGAGCGGCAGCGACGGCGGCGGCAGCGGGGGACTCCTGGGCAGCGGCGAGCACGTGGAGCAAGTCCCCCTGGAGGGGCTCGGCCACCGGGGCCTTGGCGGTGGGTGGGGGCGCCGGCGCAGCCTGGAATGGACTCTGGGCGTAGCCCTGGGAGGTAAAGAAGCGGGACTCAAGTGTACAAATCTTAAGTGTACAGCTTAATTACTTTTTACAGTTGAGGTAGAATTGACATAAAATTTATGATTTTAAAATGTACAGTTCAGTGGCATTTAGCACATTCACAGTAATCGAACTTCCAGGACATTTTCCTTGACCCAGAGAAAACTCTATCCCCATTAAGTAGTTGTTTCCTCGTTCATCTTCCTCCATTCCTTGGAAGCCACCAGCCTGCTTTCTGTCTCGATGGACTTGCCTGTCTGAACATTTGTGGCCTTTTGTGTCTGGCTTCTTTCTTTGGCACACCGTTTCTGAAGTTCATGCGGGTTGTAGCAGGCATCAGAACTTCATTTCCTTTTTATTCCTGAGTAATGTTACACTGCTTGAAAATAGCACATTTTGTTTATTCATCAGGTGATGTACGTTTGAGTTGTTTTCACTCTTTGGCTGTTGTGATTAGTGCTGCTGTGAACATGTGTGTGCAAGGGTTGTGTGGACATATATTTCAATTCTCTTTTGGCTATACACCTAGGTGTGAAATCGCTGTGTCAGTCCGGAATTTACATTCTAAATTCTATGTTTAGCTTTTTGAGAAACAAACACGCTTTTCCACAGTGCTATTTCATTTTACCACAGTGCTGTTTCATTCCGGCCAAAAACATATGAGTTTTCCCGTCTCTCCACATCTTCGACAACACTTGTTAATGTCCACTTTTTAATTTGAGCTATCCTAATGTGTGTGGAGTGGCATCTCACTGCTTGTTCCTGTTTATGACTTCTCCGTGTCTGAACTAGACTGAGACTTCAGTGAGAGCCTGAGCTGAACTTGTCTCCACTATTTACTAGTGTCTAGCTAAATGCTTAGTACATATAAGGTCATAACATTTGGTGAACAAAAGCGTTCCTAGCCACTGTTATTTTTTGTGTAATCTTCCCAGACATTTTCTCTGACACATGCAACCTTTTCCAGGTCTAGTCAGAAACACCTTTAAACATAAAGCAGTTGACAAAAAGGAATAAATGTTGACATTAAAGTTGCTGGATCCAGTTTTTTGTTTTTTTTGAGACAGGGTCTTGTTCTGTTGCTGGACTAGAGTGCAGTGGTGCAATCACAACTCACTGCAGCCTCAGCCTCACAGGCTCAAGCCATCTTCCTGCCTTAGCCTCCCAATTAACTGGGACTACAGGCACGAGTCACCATGCCCAGCTAATTTTTTTTTTTTTTTCGAGATATAGTCTCACTCTGTCATCCAAGCTGGAGTGCAGTGGGGTGATCTCGGCCGAGTTCAAGTCATTTTTATGCCTCAGCCTCCTGAAGAGCTGGGACTACAGGCATGTGCCACATGCCCAGCTTTTTTTTTTTTTTTTGAGACGGAGTCTCACTCTGTCACCCAGGCTGGAGTGCAGTGGTATGATCTTGGCTCACTGCAACCTCTGCCTCCCAGGTTCAAACATTTCTCCTGCCCCAGCCTCCCGAGTAGCTGGGATTATTGGCACATGCCACTGCGCCCAGCTAATTTTTATATTTTTAGTAGAGATGGGGTTTCACCATGTTGACCAGGCTGGTCTTGAACTCCTGACCTCAAGTGATTCACCCACCTCGGCCTTCCAAAGTGCTGGGATTACAGGTGTGGGCCACCACACCCAGCCAATTTTTGTATTTTTAGTAGAGATGGGGTTTCACCATGTTGGCCAGGCTGATCTTCAACTCCTGGCCTCAAGTGATCCTCCCTCCTCAGCCTCCCAAAGTGCTGGGATTACAGGCATAAGCCACTGCGCCCAGCCCGGATCCAGTTTTTATTTTGTAAATTCCTCATACACAGTGATATTAATTTTATTTTTTTGAGACAGAGTGTCTTCCTGTCACCCAAACTGGAGTGCAGTGGTGTGATCACTGCTTACTGCAGCCTTGACCTCTTGGACTCAAGCAGTCCTCCTACCTCAGCCTCCTGAGTAGCTAGGATTATAGGCATGAGGCACCATACCTGGCTAATTTGTGATATCAATATTGGTTATGGAAAAAATTTCAAAATTTCTTTTACAGGTGCACACTACCACACCTGGCTAATTTTTTGTTTTTTTAGTAGAGACCAGGTTTCACTATGTTAGCCAGACTGGTCTTGAACTCCTGACCTCATGATCTACCTGCCTCAGCCTCCCAAAGTGGTGGGATTACAGGCATGAGCCACTGTGTCCAGCCCATATTTAATGTACTCTCTAGACAAATTAATCTCTTCTTTTATCTGGGATAATGGATTCATTCTCTGAAAGCTTTATGTCCTCTAAAAAAATGTCCATTCTTTTATTCATTAATTGGCACAAATTAAGACCATAAAGAAGTGTTTCCTTCCTTCATCCCGTGCACATGCAGTGAATAAAATGCTTATTCAAAGAACTCAAAATGACCAGAAGACTAGGGAAGTTCTCAGGCCACTTAATTGCCTTTATGATTCAAGACCATTAAGACCCTGAAAAGAGAGAATGCTCAGCAGTTCCAGAAGCTTATGGGAAACATGAGCTCCAATGCTCTGGCTGGGAAACATGAAACCACTTTGAATTTTCCGATAAATCTGGCTTAGCAACGACTTGTTAATCATTCCCTCAAAATTAACTAGGCTTTAGAGCGAATATATATTATATCCCTGGAACTCTTGTAGAAATAGGAATTTATTTTATTTTGTATATTAGAGATGTAGTCTCACTATGTTGCCCAGGCTGCTCTCCAACTCCTGTACTCAAGCGATCCTCCTGCCTTAGCCGCTCAAAGTGTTGGGACTACAGGCAAGAGCCACCATGCCTGTTTTTAATTTTTATTTATTTCTTTTTTTGAGATGGAGTTTTGCTCTTGTCACATAGGCTGGAGTACAATGGCACAACCTCAGCTCACTGCAACCTCTGCTTCCCGGGTTTAAGTGATTCTCCAGCCTTGCATCCTGAGTAGCTGGGATTACCGGCATGCACCATCATGCCTGGCTAATTTGGTATTTTTAGTAGAGACAAGGCTTTGACCATGTTGGCCAGGCTGGTCTTGAACTCCTGACCTCAGGTGAGCTACCTGCCTCGGCCTCCCAAAGTGCCGGGACTATAGGCATGAGCCACCGCACCCAGAACCTGGTCTGTTTTTTGTTTTTGTTTTTAAATTGTACTTTGGGCTTTGGGGTACATGTGCACATCCTGCATCCTGCAGAATTGTTGCATAAGTACATACATGCTACATCCGCCCCCACCTCGCCTACATCAGGCATTTATCCCTGTGTTATCCCTCCCCATCTGCCCCCCGCCCCCTGCTGTCCCTCCCCTCCCCTCTACCTCCCCACCTAGCCCAGTGAGTGTTGTTCCCTTCCCTATGGAACCTGGCCTATTTTTTTTTTTTTTTTGAGATACAGTCTTGCCGTCACCAGGCTGGAGTGCAGTGGTATGATTTCGGCTCACTGCAACCTCCACCTCCTGGGTTTAAGCGATTCTTCTGCCTCAGCCTCCCAAGTAGCTGGGACTACAGACACGCACCACTACGCCCAGCTAATTTTTGTATTTTTAGTAAAGACGGGGTTTCACCATGTTGGTGAAGATGGTCTTTATCTCTTGACCTTGTGATCCACCCGCTTCAGCCTCCCAAAGTGCTGGGATTACAGGCGTGAGCCATCGTGCCCAGCTACCTGGCCTGTTTTTAAGGACTAAATAACAAATTTGTTCTCATCAATCTCAGACTTTCCTAAGTTCTGGCTTTGATTTCTAATATTAGGAAGTTTTTATAAACTAATTTTTAAAAATTGATTTTTGAGATGGAGTCTCGCTCTGTCACCCAGGCTATAGTGCAGGGACACAATCTTGGCTTACTGCAATCTTTGCCTCCCAGGTTCAAGAGATTCTCATGCCTCAGTCTCCTGAGTAGCTGGGATTACAGGCGCACACCACCATGCCCGGCTAATTTTGCATTTTTTAAGTAGAAATGGGGTTTCACTGTGTTGGCCAGGCTGGTCTCAAACTCCGCATCTCAAGTGATCCACCTGCCTCGGCCTCCCAAAGTACTGGGATTACAGGTATGAGCCACTAGACCCGGCCATAAACTAACTTTTTAAATTGATGCATAATATTTGTTTGTTTGTTTTTTAGAGGGAGTCTCCCGCTGTCGCCCAGGCTGGAGTGCAGTGGCGCAATGTCGGCTTATTGCAACCTCTGCCTCCCAGGTTCAAGCAATTTTCCTGTCTCAGCCTACCAAGTAGTTGGGACTACAGGTGCACACCACCATGCCTGGCTAATTATTGCATTTTTAGTAGAGACAGAGTTTCACTGTATTGGTCAGGCTGGTCTCAAGCTCCTGACCTCAGGTGATCTGCCCCCCTTGGCCTCCCAAAGTGCTGGGATGACAGGCGTGAGCCACTGCGCCCGGCTGATGCATAATATTTGTACATATTTATGGGGCACATGTGATATTTTGTTATGTACATAGAATGTATAATGATCAAGTCAGGGTATTTACGGTATTCATCACCTCAAGTATTTATCATTTCTATGTGTTGGGAAATTTTCAAGTTCTTTTAGCTATTTTGAAATATATAATGGGCTGGGCGTGGTGACTCATGCCTGTAATCCCAGCACTTTAGGAGGCCTAGGTGGGTGAATCACTTGAGATGAGGAGTTTGACACCAGGCTGACCAACATGTTGGAACCCTTGTCTCTACTAAAAATACAAAAATTAACCAGGTGTGGTGGCAGGCACCTGTAGTACTAGCTACTTGGGAGGCTGAGATGGGGGATGGCTTGAGCCCAGGAAGCAGAGGTTGCAGTGAGCCGAGATTGCACCACTGTACCCCAGCCTGGCAGACAGAGTGAGACTATGTATCAATAAATAAAAATAAACAGGCTGGGCACAGTGGCTCACACCTGTAATCCCAGTACTTTGGGAGGTTAAGGCAGGTGGATAACCTGAGGTCAGGAGTTCGAGACCAGCCTGACTAACACAGTGAAACCTCGTCTCTACTAAAAATACAAAAATTAGCCAGGCATGGTGG